GGGCTGCAGGAGCCCAGAACTGACAGCCCAGGGACCGGAAGTGATGCAATCTGCATCGCTCCCGGTCCCATAGAACGGGGAGGGGATCGATGAACGGAAGTTCGTCGACCTCCTCCCCAGCTCCCCGCGGACACAAAGATCGCCGGTCCCGGGCCCGTAGGAGGGGCAACGGAGCCCGGGAAGCACGGCGGGGGTGTCCGGCGGGGGGGGCGGCCCCTTCTTCGGGACGCAGAAGCGATCTGGCGACAGGTAAGTCGCCAGGATCGCTTCTGTTGTAAAGCCGACAGTCGGCTCTACAAGTTTAAACAGACTCCTGGCGGCAAAAGTCGCCGGGAGTCTGTTTAAACAGCCCCGATGCTGGCGACGTACACTGTACGTCGTCAGTCACGAAGGGGTTAAAGAAGAAAAGTTATGTGTTGAAAAACTAAAGCAATGCTTTAAATGATAAGCTTTGTTTGCTTTCATCAAGCTCTTTATTGGCCAGCCACGGGTCACGCACATTTGGCCAAATCTTTTACCAAAGATGACTGGAGGTGAGAGATCTACCTGTTCTCCATAAGATTTTCCCTGTGTAAGGAGACATCACATTCACTAGCGCTAAGCTCGGGCGTGTTCGCAGCTCCATGTGCCGAGCCCGCCAGGAAGCTGACAGCGCCAATCACAGGCATTGAGACATTTCCTGATCTCTGCAGCTGCGGACCTGGAACATGTCTCAGTACCTGTGATTGGCGCTGCGCGCTGTCAGCTTCCTGGCGGGCTCGGCACGCCCGAGCCCATCACTAATCATCACTAGCTCATGAACTCCTTCCATTTCTAATCATCAAAAACAATGTTCATACTGTTCCCACAGCTTGTATGACCACTGTGCCAGTCCACCTGTTTACTGAATAGTAGAAGTGGAGCTAGGAGGTTGTGTCTTTGTGTTTCCTTTTGTTTAGTAGGTTTGTTTAAGTGGTGGTCATCTGGCTGTGGTCTAGCACTAAGCTCAGGTAACCCATTTAAATGCCGTTTGTTGTGCTAGGTGTATAAACTCCCCAGGTATGGTGTGAGGGAAGAGTGAGAAGTAATCTAACCCCAACAATATTTCTTACTGCCAAATGTTTGTCATCCATCAACCTGGCTGCCATTTAATCAATGAATGTAACCTGTATTCAAAATAAAGACTCACAATATCAAAGCAATCTTAACACGCTACTACAGATAATTTAACATCTGTGTTTACTTATTCCATTAAAATTTCTGTGGTGCACAAACTTCCCGGTTTTAATATGCCAGTCACAAATACCTTTTCCACCTCTTGTTCATTGCCAAGATGCTGCACCAGGTCGGCATACTTCTTCCAGTAGATGTGACAAAGAGGGTAACGTGAGAGGAATGCATCATAAGCTTTCCTACATGCCGCCAGGTTTTTCTGTGGAAGAAAATGAAAGACAACGACACTGACAACTACATATGCACTTTAGAGCAAGCAAAATGTTAGTCCAAATGTGTAATGACAACTAAGAGAATTAGGAGTGCACACAATACAAGTCTGAATAAAATAAACCAGTGCTAATGATGAATCAGGGACGAAGCTGGGATTAACAGACAATTTCTCCATACACGCAGGCCAATAAACCCATGCCTCTAGATACCATTGGATTATGCCTAGACTTTGGCAAGCATAAAGCAGTAAACACTATTTAGCCACATTTCCAAAAATCATCCAGCCAATTTCAACTAAATGTGTTCTGACATTCCTGGAAGATAAGTATCTACATAGTCCCGGAGCAATCATTTGATGTTGTTCTTGAATCTGTCCTTACACCCTGACAGGGAGAAGATGACTGGTTGCTAAGAGGAAAGCAGAAATCACCAGCACTCAGTAAATATCTTTAATGTCCATTTAATCAGACCAATCGTCATGAACAAAATAGCGACGTTTCGGGACCGCACAGGATCCCTTCATCAGGGCGACAATGTAACGAACCTTGTTACATTGTCGCCCTGATGAAGGGATCCTGTGCGGTCCTGAAACGTCGCTATTTTGTACATGACAATTGACGATTGGTCCGATTAAATGGACATTAAAGATATTTACTGAGTGCTGGTGAATTCTGCTTTCCACTGATTGTTGCATGGTGCCACCCGTGATTGTCACTGCGAGCACCACTACAAGTACTTGGGCCGGGAGCGCTGTGAGGAGTGCAGCTGGACTTACTACTTTCTGGTTGCTAAGGGGAACACAAACCTCAGAAAACTTTACTGCAGGAGGCTAAAATCACAGCCAATATTACAGGCTTGCCCACATTAAATGGCTAATGATACCCTGTCAACAACAGCCTGGTGGTAAAAAATTATTAACAGAAAAGAATCTGACAAAAAGGTATGCAAAGGCAACACAAGGAAGAGACGGCATTAAAAAAAAAGGAGAAGAAGCAGCTATTAAGCCTTTACCTGATGTTCTGAATATGCTACCAGTTTAGTCCAAGCAATGAAATTGTACGGTTTCTCTAAAGCTGTTTTCCAGTAGGTGTTGAACTCAGGAGGCATGTTACATTCCACAACACAGGATTCCTCCTCCTCATCACTACCGGAACAGTCCTCCGTGGTCAGAACATCGCAGTCCATGGTGAGGAAATCAGACACGGAGGAATTCCCTGGAGGTAAAGGGCGACAACTTTACACTTATATTGTGCATTTCCATTATTAGGCACTGTGGTATGCAAATGGAAAAATACGCTAAATTTTCACAGCCACCTCCAGGGCTGCAGATGCTTGTCCATCCTCAGTAAGAGACAACTGGACAGCATAGAACATTTTCAGTCACTTTCAGTTAGTCTGTGTATCATGTGGAGTATAATAAACTTTTTTTAAATTTGACTTCCGTAAAACTTAAGGGTGTATTTATTAAACATTTGCATCCCAAGGAACATGCTGTACATTATCCTGGCCTTCAGCTTGGTCAGCAAGACCTCTTGGGATCCCAAGGAACATGCTGTACATTATCCTGGCCTTCAGCTTGGTCAGCAAGACCTCTTGGGATCCCAAGGAACATGCTGTACGTTATCCTGGCCTTCAGCTTGGTCGGCAAGACCTCTTGGGATCCCAAGGAACATGCTGTACATTATCCTGGCCTTCAGCTTGGTCAGCAAAACCTCTTGGGATCCCAAGGAACATGCTGTACATTATCCTGGCCTTCAGCTTGGTCAGCAAGACCTCTTGGGATCCCAAGGAACATGCTGTACATTATCCTGACCTTCAGCTTGGTCAGCAAGACCTCTTGGGATCCCAAGGAACATGCTGTAC